CTCATTTTGCCTTCTAAATTTAAGACATTTGCACTATGTCTTGGAGGAAAAGAAACATTTAAACCATATAGGTTACAATATAAATTATGAGTATTTAATTATGTATTATAAGATAATTAAAATAGAAAACTAAAAATTAAACTCAATTTTTTAAGTTTTGAAAATTTTAAACTTAAGTTACAACATTTATATAATATTTAAAATACAAAACTTCTCTTTGAAACATTTTACTTACTAACTTTTATCACTAATTGATTAAAATAAATTTTAAAATAGATAGCAATTATGTTGTAGCATAATTTATTCAACAAGTTTCCATTTCCACATATAACATAATCAATTATTTACCATAGCATTATTGAAATTTCTAACACAAACCAATTTCACGACAATCCTCATTGGATATAGAAGTATCAATTTTTTTTCCACATTTATTTATTTTGTAACAAAATTGTCCCACAAGATATTGCACACAAAGCTGTTATACTAATTGTTTATTAAAAAACAGAGAATAGATTGAAAGATCTTACTCCCTTTGTAGCTCATAAAATTTCCATAATGAAAAATGACCATAGAATCACAGGAATGGAGAAGTGTTGTCTTGCAGTTGGCTCAAATCTGCTTTTGATCGCTCCATAGGTTTCATACAATGACCAGCACGTGTCACATGTATTTCTTATCTATGTAAACAACAACTAGATACTATTGGTGTGCCTAAAACGCTTTTCAGGTTGCTTAATTATCAAAATCTACATCCAAATTGCATATACTGTAGTCAAAGAAGCATCACTCTTGTGGTAATAATACATTATTACTTGTGCCATTTATTCAAACTAAAGCAGAACATAACTCAAATTAGTGCTTGTAATCAGGTGTGAGAAGAATCCAACAACATGTAAAATCGGAATAGTTACCAGATTGCAAGGCACAGAATAACTATAGAATTAATCTCCACATATACGAAAAGTAACTAAATTCCTTCTCAAATAATTGAAAGAAGAATCAACTCGTAATATCAAACTAAAAGGAAAGATTCGATTGAGAAAGGAATTTATAATTGGACTCAAGCAATTTTGCAACGGGAAGATTACAAGGAAATTTCATTAAACAGCAAAGTGAAATGATCAATCCTATAATATGATTTCATTATCTGTTATCTAACAAAGAAGAATGTTTCTATTTTCTGTCATTAAAACAAGTTGAAATAAAATATAAAACATAGATTATTGTACACTAATTAGCCTGCTTGGCCAAGCCACCCAAATCATATAATCAGGTGGACACGTTCACATTTTTATTTTTTTTAATTATTTGAAGATCTTTATGTTTTTACCATTAGTTCATCTTTTTGAAACATTTTAGACCTATTAAGTGCATACATAATCATTCTCAAAATGTTTGCAATATAAATTCATTTATATAATATACAAATCTTATATGGTGCAGTTTTTAAAACCCATAAAGTAATATAAATGTTGTTATAGGAGTTACACATTTTTAAATCTATAGTAATAATATAATTACACAAGAGTTTCATAGCTTACAAACACAGTTGAAGGTCAGACATAATCATCACAAATCCATGCACAAATCACATACCAAGAGTTGTATACGTACAAATCACAAATACGACTTTAGATTGTTGGGAAAAATAGGTAATTTGTGTGAAGATAAATTATCAATTAACATAATCAATCAAATAACATAAATTTAATTCAACAATATATATGTTTTAAAAACCAACCCGATCATCAACCCAAAAAGGAAAAGGGTTGAGGTTTAAAGGGTCAAACCGGGGTCGAACCGGTACCAAACCGGATGACAAATTAAATAAATAAATACACAAATAAACTATAAAATGTCATAACTATAATAGATTCTTAAATTTTAGTTTTCTCATTCAAAATAAATATAATCAATATTTGTTAATTAGATTTATTATAATAATTTATTTTATAACCTTGAAAACTAACGATTAATATGTCCAAAATAATTTGCTTTGTTCAAATTTAAAATTATAATCTTGTTGGGATTTATGATTTGTTAATGAAGATGATGAAGTGAACTAGGAAATACTTAGAATTGACACTTAGCAAGTATCACACATTAGAAATTACCACAACATTGGAAAAATAATCTCCTTTAAAAATGAGCTAGTATTTCACATTGTAAAAATACTAAAACATTGAAAGAATGATCTCCTTTAAAAAGAAGGCAAGGGAGAATCACTTTTCTAAAAAAGTTACTTGGGCCTTCAATTGCAATGGGTGGCCCATTAAGATAGTTAAAAGTTTTTGTGAAAAAATAAAAAATCAAACTACCCGAAAAAAAAAACGGTCTCCGATATGACGGTTTATTAGCCAATTTTTTATTTTCCGATTAGTTTATGAATACTGGACCGGATTAAAGGCCGGTTCACGATTTTTCCGATTGAACCGATAGGTCTGGTCCGATTTTTATAACATTGATATATATATATATACATATATAAGAAAAGAGTTAGAATGCAAACCTTAGGAGTCGTGTTGAAAACGTTTTCCTGAAGTTGTTTTGCCTCCCCTTCGTGTGGGGACTTTCAACACTATATGATTTTAAGATAAAATCTACGTAGCTCACGGTTGGTTTTCTTTCTATGGGTACGACCATAGGAAGATAAGTGAACGAACCTTCATTGAATTGTCAAAACTATAACATAGAAGGGTAGAGTGTATTTTATCAAGTTATCTTTTTCATCTCAATGAAAAGCATTCCCTTTTATAGGGATAAATAAATTTAACCCCCACATTTATGAGAATTAAGTCATTTAACATATATGTTACACTATAATATTATTATTTTAATTTTGTATTAAATTGATATTAAAATAGAAACAACAAATTTAAAAGTATTAATTTGAAAATTTAAAATTTAAAATATTTATTTTTCAACATAAAATACTATAGACTTATATTAATACCAGAATTATAGAAACCTGACTTGTACCATTACAAAGAAAATATCTGATGGATCATTCCACAAGACTCAACCTTTCAGTCATTTTCATCTCATAAGCATTTAATTCAATTTAATGCATCGGATATTACATTAATGTCATTTGTATTGCACGAACACTTCAATTAGGAGGACGTGTTCGTAACCGACACTCCTCGAAAACTCTATCATTGTCATTTTTCTTTATATATATATTAGATTTCAACAAGAAAAATTAATAAAAAGCATAAAACTAAATTTTATACTATATAAATGAAGAATTTTATAAAAATCAACGTGACGTATTGTGTCGGTACTTTTTTGAAAAATTGTCTGTCCGTATTCTGATACTCATATCTGTATTGGTGCATCATAATATCAAGTGTTCTGGCCTGCATCAGTTGAATTTTCAGAAATCATACAAAAGAAAGCATGGATGCACCAGTGCTAGAGCACTATGCAGAACTGTCCATGTACAGCAGCAGAGTCTTATAAGGTGATCAAGTAAGAGCATGCATGTTTGTTTTAGAAGATGGGAAAATGCAAGGAATCCAATCTGAAAGATCATTCTTAAAAATTAAGTACTGCTAATCGAACTTCTTCAAGACATGTAGACCTAGACCTATTTCATCTAGTTGGATCATCATCTGATCCTGATTTTCAACTGTCAACACTTTCACTTGTTTTCCCATGATAGTATGACGCAGAAAAAATGCTAAAGTAACTGGATGATAAATATTCTCCTAACTTTTGCTTGGTGATTTGACTTTCAATTGAGGAACGGGAGGGAGGATGGACCACATAGTAAAGGTTGCACAATTGAATCACTACATTAATCAGAACTTTAAAAATTCAATGCTCTAATAAGCTCTCTTTTCGGCCCTAGAATTCAGGAAGCCTTCTTTCCGTCGGCAGTGCTGCACTTAGGATGAAATACTTGTCAATGTTGCTAAGGATAAAATACCAAACGGAGGCATGATCCACTAAAAAATGGGTTCCATGAAGGGAAAAGGAGAGATTCGGATCGGTGAGAGGGCAAAAATAGGCGGGACGCCTATTTGCACCGAGCGAGAGCATCTAGAGAAAAGGAAAGAATCAAAATTGATAGATAGATTTCCCGAAAGAAATGGTTTTTGCACCACGAATTTTTATTTATTTTGAACCTAATATTGAGTTAACAAAATATTTCAGTTAGCCCTACATTATAGTTTGGCATCTATCTTTTAGCAGAAAATTCTATGCCAACGGATGATTGATGATGTAACACACGGATATCAGGATTTTATATTAAAAGACGGCCACCAAATTGAATCAATGATCTAATTATAACGATTTGCGAAGTTTTTTGACGAGTCTGAAACAAATGTTTATTTGGTACTTTAAGTGTAAAGTGAAGTGCACGAGACTAGCAGTGAAATCCAGAGCATAAACTGCCTAGCTTAAAAAATACAAGGTATTTTTATTTCAAAATAGGTTTAGATAACTTTAGAGCATATGTTTGGAAGTGTTTATAAATATTTTAAATTATAAATAAATAAAAATGAATTATAAATAAATAAACAGCAAATATATATGATTGGATAACAAATACAAGCGCCGAAACAATTGAGACACATGCTCTGCGCAACGGATATATTGTCTGATAACACAAGATTTGGACCGAGTCTACAAAGTCTTAACATCGAATTGCGTTAAGGTCTGATAGTATGGACAAATTGTTCAATGTAACATTTCATTTTCAGTGCCTACAGAATTTGCACCATTACTTGCAGGATCTTTCACACTTCAAAACTTAACTCTAAACCCGTGAATAAGTTGTCAAATGAACCCGATAGACTCAGATCCAATGATGCACACTTCACAAGAAAGTCATTATTCATAGATGATTACTCTCTTAAATTAGAAACAACCGTAGGCTAAAAGCCCAGCAATGATTTAACTTACAGCAACAATTTTCACTTCAAACACAAAAAATGAGTTTCACTTTTTAAACCGACGTGCCTTCGCTAAAACCGCACTTTTTTACACGGTTTATAAAAAGTATCACCACAGTTTCAAGAGCATGTTCAGTTGTTTGCTTAAAGGTTACATAAAAGGAATTCCTTGATTCTTCCAGAAAAAGTATTTTAAGTCGGGCCAAACATGCTCGTCATTCAGTAACAAGCTTCTAGAATTAGAATACCTACTGAGAAACAAATATCATGTTAAGGCAAAACGCACACACAAACACTAGAAAAGACAATTTCCATACTAGTCGAAACAGTTGCATCCACCAAGCCAAGAAGACAAACTGAACGACCAATATCCTTAATATGGGCATATTAGTTCGTTTTTCGACTTATTTACTGCCCAGTATAGAATGCAACACAGACCAACATCACACACACTGAACCTCTTATCCCATCGCATATTTCTGAGTCCAAGATCGAGCAGTAGTCTCGTACTTGGCTCTGTCATTCTTGTACATGTGAGCAATCTCAGGTACAAGGGGATCCTCAGGATTTGGATCAGTTAACAGGGAACAAATCGAGAGCAACACCTGAAAAAAATAGTTGCTAGCAAAATGATCATCCTATTGTTATTAATTCGCACATCAAACAGATTCAATATCCAACTACGAGTGTGACTACCATTATCAACAAGAGATGCAAACAAGTTCATAAATATGACGAGAAATGCTTTAACAAACATAATCGTACACGAGGTAAGGAAGACAATGGTGCAAACGAAATGTTAAAGAAAGAAAGAACTAACAAACTTGAGTGTGACCTTTGATAAAGTGAGGGCAGGACTCCATTGCTCTTTGAGGATGTCAAGGCAAATACTGCCGTTGCTGTTGATATTTGGATGGAAAACTTTGGTTTTGAAAGAGACCTGCTCGGTTCATAGTTAAAAGAGGAAATAAGCATCCAATATGTGCATCTAAAAAGCATAAAACGTTATCATTAAATAACGACACGAAAGAACAGCTATTGTTGGTGATGTAACAGTGCCTCCAGTAAGTGATAAAAACAGAAGAATCCAAAGAACTACATTTGACAAAAGGTTGCATAAACGGAATATTTTAAAATATTGTAATATTTGATTTATCATTAGAGAAAGTGCTGTAAAAAGGGCTTATTTTACCCATCTCTGAATGTAAATTTGTTATTGAAAGCGTTGTCATGATTATTCCACACATCTAAGGCAGAATAAGCCCACAACCAATTCGTGAGTGGAACAGGATACTCCAAGAATTACTATAACTTGCAGTGAGCCATTTCAGTACATGATAGAATCTTGTACTAGGCAGTACTTGATGGACAAGAAAGGTTTACACTTGATGTAACGCAGTTTTGAAGTTTCTTTATGGAGTATGTCCATTTCTTGTGTACATAGAGTAAGATATGGCTAATGTTGCTGAATCTATATCCTACTTAGACTAACACGTCCACTATTTGCCATATCAATTATAACCAAAAGGCCAAACTCGTAACAGGTGAACAAAAAGGACACAAATACCTTGGGCGGTTTGAAAGGGTAATCTGGTGGGAAATGTATAGTTATAAGAAACACTCCACCAGAAAATGGGCTGTCCGTAGGTCCCATGATGGTAGCTTGCCAATGGAACATGTCCTCACCAACAGGACCTGCAAAAAGTTTTGATATTAGTTCCAAGTTTAAAAAAAAAAGCTTCCTGACTTTTAACAGGTTAGAGATTGGAATTCCAGATATCATCACATTCATGATTCAACACAATGGTGAAAACCTAATTATGTGACTAGAAGTAATAATTAGCTCACTCAATGCCCCGAAAAATGAATAGATGAAAAAATGACAGAACGCATCATAGAAAAGAATGAACGACGATGATGAGCTCTGATAACAGCTACAAGCTGAACACATGACAACATTTTATGAACATAACTAACAAATCAGCAGGACATGGAAATGTCAGACACATTGGATATAATAATAAAATTAAATTAAATGTCAGAAACACATTGGATATAATAATAAAATTAAATTATCTTTTGTTTCCTATCTTTAGTGCTTTGTTCTCTTCAAACATAACATTCAGATATCTATTTAAAAGTTGGCAACCATACAAGGAGTTATAGGGCCAACATTCTATTAAGGCCTAATATAACCATTGAGGACGGAATCGACAGACCATCTGAATTTATAACTGATTGGTCCATAGTTCTTATCCTTCAAATTCCCAGACGTGTTTTACACATGTCAGTTTTGGTGGGAAACAAACAAGTGTGAATAACACCAACACTCCATCAACCATAAAAGCCTTTAGATCAACTACTAGCGAAACAAGGGAACAATTTACCCTCTCCCTGACTTACATCAACAAACTCTTGAAATGGAATGAGCAAGGGAAGCGAATGGTAGGATATTTGAGACAGCTTCAAGGTAAGCCCCTGAATGGGTACCTTGAATGGGTTAATCCGAATGACGGCATATGCATGGTTCTTAGATACAACTGTCCTCCAAGCATACTACCTAAATCAACAAATATAGGCGACAGCAACTTGAATATAGTGTGTGAATGCTACTATAAATTCAACAAAATCAAAATGGCAGACCTGCAACGCCAACTTGCTATTCCAAATATATTGTGGAATTGTAGTGTCATCACTAGCTGACAAAACCATAACTCAGTATGCAATGGGACATGTGGTGAACAGAAACAAAGAGAATATTTGGATATGGGAAGTCCTTAAAACCAAAAGGTATGGTCCCATCCTCTTCCATTTACCATATGTGTGTGTGCGTGTGTGTATTGTACATGCGTTCAGCAGCGTAGGTAACCTGAGCAAAACAAACCCAATTCCCTCCAAATTTAAAGAGTGACAATGAGTTACACCATTGATATGAGTCCAACTTTCTAACCTCTGTAGCACGGACATTTCAACTAGAGTAGCGTGTCCATATCGAACACATGTCGAATACCGACACTCCTCATCTTTTTCTTTATCGGAATTATTATCTATTTTTAACTCAAAGTTACACATATTTAAAAGATTTCGACAAAAAAATTAATAATAAATATACTAAATTTATATTATATAAATGAAGAATTTTAAAGAATTTAATCAATGTGTCGTGTCAATACTTTTTTGAAAAATCACGTGTTGGACACATGTCCGTGTTGATGCTTCATAGTTTCTAGCTTTCAGCAGGAATAACAGCCTTCTCAGTAAATTAGCATACCAACTTCAAATTTTCCAAAGCAGTCAAAGAAAACATTGCAAAGTAAGACAGAAGGTAAAAACATAGGATGAAGAGATAACAAACCAGCACTACAGGATACAGGAGGGTCTTTCTGCAAGTCCTTAAGCTCTTTCTGGATCCTCTTTGAAGCCATCAGCAATCTTCTAAATTTCAATCACCTGCGCAGAAATATCCAATGCAGAATATTTTAGGACAAACAACTGGGAGTATGATCTTCATCTGTAACTAGTATAGACAGCAATAAATTTTGGCGAGTCAGTGTAACAACATAACATGAATATATTCGTCAGCATAGTTAACACAATATCAAAAAATCAATTACAACTTTCTGCCCTCATCGTCCAGACAAAATATAAACAAAAAATTTGAATTATTATAATGTACACAAATCTCCAGATCAACATGTTTGGTGATGTGGTAGGATTAAGGCCTTGGAATTGGAATCAGAAATGTTTTCTAAGCAAATTTGCAGATTCTTTAATAGATTCCAATCATGAAGATTTTGTTGCATGTACCAAACACAGTGAATAACTCATTCAGACGTACAAACAAACATCAATCACAATATCCACAGATCACTTAGCTTCAGCAAAACACAGTGACAAAGAAGCTAAAAACTTATTTTTTGTATTTTCCCCAAAACCAAAAAAAGAACTCAAACATAATTAGCCAAATTTCACTCCAGAACACAATAAATCCACAAACCCCGTAGGCAAACACTGCTGCGTTCACTACACCAATTCCAACCTATTTCTAACAGGTGTTTTCCAAGATTTGACCAAATTCCATGTAATTTGTCCCCCAGGATCAACAGGAAACAGCGGGCACAAAGTCGAGGATAAGTGGATAACCCTAGAAGGCTAATTTAAGATTAAGGATATAGTTAATAGGCATTTTTTTCCATACCAAACACAAAGAAGATGAAATTAATCTTAGAAAGAAGAAAAAAGCGATCACCGCACATCGCACGACAATGATCTCCTCACTTTCATACATTCATAATCTATAAGATCTATATATACACCAAACCGGTTCATAAAAATAAATTAAAAAAATAAAGGAAAATCATAAAAACAAGGGGAAAAAAGAACTCAAAACACAATAAACATAAAAATGACAAATATTAGTAAAAAAGGGGAAAAAATATAGAAATTAACAAATCAAAGCATGTATATCATCAAACCTTATAAAACCTAAAAAAAAAAAAAGTACATACAAAAAAATGGATAAAAAAAAATTCACGAAATCAACCATCGGATCAATTCAAAACCTTATCTATATAAACGCACATACGGTACAAAAACAAGGAAACACCAAGAAGATGATTTTACGGAGATTGGGGGGGGGGGGGGGGAATCGATAAGAGCTTCAATTTATTGTTACGAACCTTCGATCAGCGAGATATTTACTGAAAACCGGTGTATGAATTATTATGGGAAAAAGAAATACTCGCTTCCAGACTACGCTGCTGCAGCCACCTTTATAAACAAACACGAATTCCGCGTGTCATTTCGTCGATATGCATTGGCGGTGGGAAAAGCCAATTACTCCCTCCCGTACACGCGTACACCAAAATTGGATGAGTTGATTAAAAATATTTTGGTTGAGTTGATTAAAAATGGTCTGATTTTTTAATCATACATTTTTTATTAAAATAATATTATACATAAATTAAAAAAAAAAAAAATTTTAAACCACACATTTTAATATTCATCATTATTCTGTAATACATTTTTTGCAAATAATGAGTGACAAACACACCTTAAATTACATTAATTAATCAATTAATTTCGTACATAATCACCTTCGAGATAATTAATTGAATAATGAAAACATTTTTAAAAAATGGGAAAACATTTTTAATGGTACTTCCATTGAGTTGAAGAAAATATCGATATAATAGATTAAAAGTATGTAAAATTTGACCGAATAATGAGGAAAAATGATGTTTTTAAGGGTGTTAAGTGAAGCGAGTCGACGATAAACTGAGCAATAATTTTTTCGAGCAAGTTGCTCATCTACTCGTGAGTCGATTCATTACGAGTGAAAAAGCAATTTTAGTAAAAAGAAAAATGAAAAAATAAAAATCGCCAAGGAGCTATTTCATTAGATGGCGTGGCAAGTCAAGCCTTACAGTAGGCGAGCCTAGAGGTTTGATTTGTCTTGTCCTATCTAACACCCCTAAATTCCGTGCAATGTTTATCCGTGTTTCTTTAAATTTATATAATTCAATACACTGCATATACTAGATAGAGTTAGAGTAATCAAATAATTTTCATTATCGAAATTTTTCTAAGAGTAATTTGTTGGGAATCTACTTAACATGCGCAGTGGATATTAAAATAATTTTCGGTTTTCACCATATTCATCTTTGTGTTTAGATAGAAATTGTGATAAAAGTCATACATTTTTTCTAGATCTGCAAACCCCTTTACTTTTTTTTTGTTCCAATGATCTTGATTTGCCACCCACAGCTATCCAATTGTCCAGCCTCCAACGGTGATCCACACAGAAAACAAAATTATAGTATTAGGGTTTTTCTTGTGTTAGCAAGAATAATGAAAAATCTTTACAATTTTGCAAACCCTAATCATATTTATATAAGCCCGAACGGACTTTACATGACTCGGTCCAACATTTAATTAACATATTTAATTAAATCCGGTTTGTGAATTAATTAATCCAATTAATCAATTCAGGCCTATAAATAAGTAACATAATTAATTAATTTATCCAACACTCGTTAAATTAATTAATTAACAAATCACAATCTTCCAGTTCTCCTTTTGTGTGCGACCCATCAGGTTCTCGATCACGATGTCTAACGACGTGAAATATTATTTTGATCTAATCAAAATTGATAAATTAAAACACCATTTTAATTTATCACAAATTCACACTCGTCGTCTCAAATTGACATCTAGCAATGTGTCAGGGCAATGCATGTGACGAAAAATTTCACGTGGTGTGACAAAATCAAACTCGTTCGTTTACCATGAAACTATAATCCATTCGTCAGTATGATCCGATCAATTACGAGATATGGAAGTGTGTCAATCTTGATTATCGATCATATCTTTCACTCCACTATTAAGTCAGTATAAATCGAAAACTCATTTTCGACTTACGAGTACACATTGGTAAAGGATTTCATTATCGACTTAATTGAATGAAATGCAAATCATAATCTCTTACTATCTAAGAGTGACGAATCCTCTATTGATCATTCACAACCTTCATACGATTCTTGACATACCCGAACGATGTCGTATTAGCGGCCTTTGGCAGAGCAACATCTAACACCGTCAAAGCATGATTGTCATCATGTAAGATATTATGACGACCTCAGGTCAAAGGACCAATCCCACCACCGAATGTTGGAGATTAACCGTTGACACTCAAATAGTTATCCATATGGAATCTCTAGGCGGGTCTCCAATGTTTTGTTCTATAACAAAACATTCACGTGTTCATTTAAGTGTCACCACACTTTAACTTGTGAGATAAGTTACTTACTTCACAAGTAAGAAATGTCACACGCGATGGTCTATCCGTAATAACGATATCCGTATCTCATTATTACTTACGACCACGGACGATTTAAGATTCAATCATATGTAATTTGTATCTCACAATCATAACTCCTTGTGATTAACAAATTATGAAGATTTGAATCTACGGATTCTATTATTTAATTTAACTGTCTTATTAAATAATAGATCTGTCATTAAACTGCATCAGTTATATATTACGAATATTTATGTCCAAGATTAATTGGACCTAGGGCATAACACTTACAAACTCCCACTTGCACTAGATCCAATCCCTTATGTATCCAATATCATAAGAGTCTACATGACGATCATGTCTATACTGTGACAACTCTTTGTCAATGGATCTGCAATTAATTGTGGGAATTCGTTCTTCTCTTCACGTCATTTCTATGTATTATCTCTCCGATGAGATTATATCGCCTCAGTACATGTTTGGATTATTGATAAGACCTCAGTTCCTTCGATTGCGTGATGACTTTATTGTTATCACAATACAATGGCATGTGATCAACAATATTAGGAACTATTCCAAATTCATTAATGAATATCTTGATCCACATTGCAACTATTTGCTACTTCTGAAGCAATCATGTATTAGGTTTCTACTTATTGAACCAACGATTGTTTCACGTTTGGAACTTTTCCAATATACCGCTTAAGAGTAAACTAATTGCTTCATATAAAATCTTCTCTCAAGATTTTATATATGTAGATTGAGATGAGTTAAGTAATTTTCTAGATCTATCTCTATAGATCAAGTTGCTACTCCTATATCGTTCATAAATAAATCCTTCAACAACCATTATTTCAACGATTGAAACATAGGGATGTCGCTTTCTATAATATTAGGAATGCGACAATACTCCCACTATCTTCTTGTAAACACATAATTCGTTTTCATATTTGATAAAATCAACATTTTGATTTTCTTATTAAATCGAAGATTTCGGCTTTAAGAGGCTTGCTTTAACCCATAGCCACGATATGCAACTATTGCAGTGAAAATCCAAATGGACCTCAGCATGGCTAAAAGCGAAAGATTTCATGAAAGTCAACACATTGTCTTTGTTTGTTACCGTTTACTACTAGCCTTACTTTGTATGTATGGATATTTCTATCCATGTTAACCTTTTATTGTAAGATATTTACAACCTATGGGTTTTATCCCATCAGAAGGGTTGACCTAGGTCTAAACCATGTTCACATACGTCGAATTCATCTCAAGTTTCATGACCTCTCGCTATTTCTTTTAAGTCAACACTTGACTATATTTTTGTGCAATTAGTAGGTTCATCATCCTAGATCAGTAATACCTGATTAGTAATCATGGATTCTCATCTTCTTCAAGGTCGAATGATCTTACTAGATTTAAATAGAGTTGTCATGTCCTCAGGAGTCTCTACTTCCTGATCAAAAGTATGTCCCATATCAGATATAGGATCAAACTCTGATTCATCTACTTGGCTAACTATATTTGTGGACTCTTGAACTCTTTCATGTTCTATTTTACTTCCACTGTCCTCCCACGGAGTAAACATTTTCTCTAAAAAGACGATATGTCGTGAAATGAAGACTTTCTTCACGATAATAGAATTTATATTCAAATATGTGCTTTGAATATCCCACAAATATATATTTATCGGATTCAGTCTCAAACTTGTCCAATTTAAAGCGCTTCAAATAAGTGTTATGGCCCAAAAATTTCATATGAGATAAATTGGGACTATTGCCTTTCCATAATTCGTACGGAGTTCTGTTAACCAACTTAGATTTGACATGTTTTAGTGTGTTGCACACTACAATCAGTGCATGACCCCAAAACGATTTTTGAAGATTTACATGGCTTGTTATTAATCGCACTATATCTAATAGTTAATGATTCCTCATTTTAGATACACCACTATGCTGCAGTGTATATGAAGGAGTCCATTACAAGAGAATCTCATTCTCTCTTAGATAATCTAGATTTTATCTTTAAGATACTCTCACTTCGATCGGATCTTAATGTGAGGATATCTTTTCCTATTTGTTTCTCTACTTCTAGCTTGAATCTTTTGAATTTTTCAAGGACTTCATGCTTGAATTTCATCAAGTATACATGATAATTGATGACATAAGATCTACCATTAATTAACATGGGTCTATATACATCACTATGTATTATGCCAATATTTATGACTTATTCCTTTTCAAGTAAAATGAGATATAGTCATTGTGCCAAACAGACATGTGTTGCATTTGTCAAATGATTCAAAATCAATTGACCCTACGTATACATATCTATGTATTTTGAAATTGCATTTCATCTACATGACCAATTCTGCAACACCAGATTTAGGTATTATTTAGATTATCACTATTATGCCTTCTAACTTCTATACTCATTATAGAACGCTTAGTACTTAGAATATAAATGTTATTTGTAACTTACCATACTATAAAGATCTTAATTAAGATAAGTAGGAACAATAATTGTCCTTAACATTAAAATAGTTCATGTCTGAACATGAAATTCATTTTAATGTTTCAGTTACGGTGGGTACAAAGCAACATTTCTCTAATTCCAGTACTAGGCCTAAAGACAACAGCAAGAGTTTTGTCATTTGTGGGTATTTTTGTCAATTTCTAATTTTCTAACACGGATATATTATTATTATTATTATTATCATCATCATCATCCAATAATCCTAATATATATCTAATAATTTCAAGATTAACATAATCTATCAAAAGCATTTTTACTCTTCAGAATTTAGATGAACTCCAATTGACTCCCAGCACAGTCTTGAGCCACCGTCACCACACACTTTTTTTCAGATTTTTCACCCCTCTTCAAAGTTGAATTGAAGTCCATTGTACCAAATCGGAGATAAAGAGATTCTAAACCTTCGGTAATAATATTTGTTACGAATAAAGTTTCATATCAATAATTTATTGGAGCAAATTAAGGTAAGAATCTGAAATTAAATGCATTTCGTAACATCATACAAACGTAAACTTGTGTAATTGTTAT